CCCCGGCTATTTTTTAATTTTTTTAATATATTGATTTTAGAGAGAGGAAGGGAAAGAAACACTGATTTGTTTTTCCACCCACCCATCCATGCATTCATTGACTGCTTCTTGTATGTGCCCTGACGGGAGATCGAACCCCCAACCTTGGAGTATCGGGACAACACTCTAACCAATGGAGCTACCCGGCCAGGGCCCCTTTCAGTGGACATTTAGGTTGTTTCTGATCTTTCCCTTTTGCCAGCTGTGTGCCGTGATGACCACGTACATGTAGTTCTCTGTGCCACATGCACAGTGAGTTACCTGGAGCATCGCTCCTGGAGTGGGAGAGCTGGTTCAGGAGGATGTGACTGCGTGTAATTTGGATAGATTCTGCCCTGTTGTTTTGTAGGTACAGATAAGGAGCTTTCACTTTGCAAGCAGTGTATGTGAATACCTTTTCCTCATATTCTTGCCAGCAGTGTATTATCAAACTTTCTGATCTTCACCAGTAAGATAGGTGTGAAATGGTAACCCAGTGTGGTGTCCTTCTCCTCCACTTTCATTTACAACTTCTCCACAAAGTAGTGCTGATTCCTGTGTTTCCATCACCCGCTTCCCCAATGGTGACATTCATGTAACTACAGTCTATTATCAAAACTAGGAAATTGACATGGCATCATGCATTAAGCAGTCTACACACCTGGTATAGGTTTCCCGAGTTTTGCATGTACTTGCCTTTTTGTTGGGGGTGAGGGGGCTGAGTGTGTAGTCTTGTGACATTTTGTCACAAGTGTTAGATTCACATAACCACCTCCATGTTCAGGACTCAGAGCTGGGCCATCCTCACAAAGGGGCTTGCTCTTGCTGCCCTTTGTAGTCAATCACCCCTCCCCTCCCCTCGCTGAAACTGGAACCCCATTGTAGTCTGGGATTTTTTTTTTTATCCAGTGTAGTTTTAATTTGCATTCTTTTGTTACAAGTGAGGTTGAGTTTCTGTCTCTAGAAATCACTTGTGTTTCTTTTTCTGTCAGTTCCTTTATACTTTATTTTTCTGCTGAATTGATTTTTTTTTTCTAGGAAGTACTTTCTTTAGTAAAATGAATCCCTTGTGATATAAAGCGAAAACCCGGCTCCTGTCGGCTCTGCCTTTCCATAAGTGGCTGAACATTTATATCACATTTGAAAGCACATTTTTCCTGGCTAATGAATTTGATTCCTTGATATTTGCAGATACTACAATAACTCTTGCTATAGTGGTGGACAAGTTGTCTCCTCGACTGGCTCAGCTGAAGGTTCTGCACAAAGTCTTTAGCACTGGGATAGCCGAAGTCCCACCAGACACTCGGAATGTCGTGCGGGCATCTCACCTGCTTAACACTCTGTACAAGGCCATTCTTGAATATGACGACGTTGGAGAAGCCTCTGAGCAAACCGTACGTGGGCCCTCAACTAACCTAAAGTGTGTGGCCCTGTTCTGCCCTCCAGAGGCCTGGTGCACACCTGCCATAGCTCTATGCTTAAGTCATGGTGCGTCAGACACTTGTGCAGGGTTTTTAATTAGCTTCTAAATTATAATTGCCACGGTCACCAAAAGGATGAGGCTAGGACAAAGCAAAACATAAAACCAAGATCCGAAAGATACCTAGCTAACTTACATGGATATTTGAGGTAACCCTTTCTTAAATAAAAATGCAAATCTATGATAAGAGGCCTCTAGAGCAGTCAGATTCCTAGAAACAGAAAGTAGAATGGTGGTCCGCACATTAGGTGTTTCTTTTGTTGGAGAACCTTGTTCTCACCCGCTTGGTCCTACAGCTCAACATAGAGGTGGATTTCTTTCAGCTATGCAGTTTTTTCCTGCTGGGAAATATAATAGGATAAAATCATTTCCTCATTCGTAATGGACATCTTGCTAATTGTGCCATTTAGGCAGGAAAACCATACCCCTATTTACCCTGGTAACTGTCACTCTCAGGAGGGTCCTGGTATGGACTACAGATACTGTGCTCATCTCATATATAATTGAGTTTTTAAATAAGGATCTTATAACATCCTTTGGATTTCTAATTTCTTAACTTTGTTTCAAAAAACAGAAATCTGGTCACTTTTTAAAAGGTGTTTCAGAAATGTTTGGACCTCATTCCATGCAGAGATGAGGGCACTCTGAGTGTGGGCTGTGTACACTGTCTCCACAGGTCTCCCTGCTTTTCTCTCTCTGGGTGGAGACAGTGCGGCCCTACCTGCAGATTGTGGACGAGTGGATTGTGCACGGCCACCTGCGTGACTGTGCGCGGGAGTTCATCATCCAGAGGTGACTGCAGCAATCGCAGCGCAGGGGGCACACGGGGTGCTGGCTTTACCTTTTGTCTCACCGTAGGATCACGTGTGTTCATTAGTTTCAGGTGCTGACAGAGCTGTGTGGTCACCATAGACAAGTTCTATTGTAGGAGATGTCAGGTCCTAGCCCCAAAATATCTTCTTCCAAGTTTTATGTCAGTTCACAGTTTTTTTTTTGCAAATTCCATTTTTGAGTGATAGTGTGCTGATGAAAGTAAAACGCACACTGCTTTTCATAAAATGAATTCAGGTGACAACCAATGGCTTCTGTCACTCCAATGTAAGTCATCAGTAAGACAGAAGTGTGAACATACTACAGAATTGGCCTCTAATATATTTATTTCTCCAAATTAGCTAATCTGTTTTTTCACTTTTCAGTTAATTGATTTTTCTAAATAGAAACATAGAATCTGCCTTGTAGAGCTGTCCGCATCTGAACTCTGAAGTAGTGCTGTATTTAGGTGTGTGGTTTGACTGACAGCTGTCTGTTTACCTCAGCAGGAAGGGCACCTCTGGAAAGGTGGCCATGTTTCCATTGCCCAGGTGAAGGAGCCAGCCTTTTCTCAAGTCAATCTCATGTCCCTCCTGTCCTGTTTCATCTTACATGAGAATTTTTGTAAAAACGGGATTCTGACTGTTTTTAGATGGTGATGAGTGTCTATTATTTCATTTAAAAAAGCTGTCCAGTCAAGAATCTATGTGGGAAAAAAGATGTGGAAGTCTGAAGATTACCCTCACAGGAGATGAGCAAATGAATCATATTTTAATTCCAATTCAGGAAACTTTACTTAGTTTTTACCTCTGCCATTCAGAGTACTTACCACGTTCCCAGGTTAAATCTCCCATTTTGCATGGACATTGCTCTGTTTTAGCAGTAATTGATGTTGCTGTGTTTGGGATGTCTGGATAACATGACTAAGCTAGAACAGATATACTGTTGTTTTGGAAGAAAAATTAATATTTAAAATTCTTTCGAATCTCTATAGAAACAAAAATGTCCCAGTAAATCACAGAGACTTTTGGTATGCGACTTACACACTGTACAGCGTGTCCGAAAAGACAGAGAGTGAAGAAAGGGTGAGTGATAGTGCCAGCGCAAGCTCCGGCAGCGACCAGGGGCCCTGCAGCCGGCAGCACACCATGGTGTCCTTCCTCCGCCCTGTCCTGAAGCAGATCATCATGGCCGGCAAGTCCATGCAGCTGCTCAAGCACTTGCAGGTTGGGGACAGCACCACAGGCCAGGCCATGGCCAGAGGTGGGGCCCTTTCCTCCTGCCTCTCCGGCAGCATTGGGGCAATTGCTTTCTTCTGTCTTGTCATTGAGATGCATAATGGTTTTGTAGTTTGAAAGTCATCAACGCCTTCTAGTTACATAGAAATTGTCACTGTGATCAAGTGAATAGATGCTGCTGCTCCTGCTGGAAAAATGTGGTCCTCATTGGGACCTTTGGCACTGTGTTCGAAAGGCAGTGATCAGAAGGTCCTTATTTTTGATCCCCGAGGATGGGTCCTTTAAAAATAATTCCCTGGCATATCTTGCAGCATTTCACTCTTGAAGACTACAAACCCCAGCAGATAGGAAATTGTTGGTGAGCAGTCAGACTTGATCATAGATTTTGAGAAAATCTTGATATCATTTTTGGTCTTTTTTTTTATGCAATTTGAATGATGTACTTAAAGTTTTATCAACTGACTAAAAAGATTTGAGAGTACAGATGTGAACCTTGGTGGTTTTGTTTGTAAATCACCTTAGTGTTACATTAACTATTTTGTATGTACTTCAGTAATATTTTCACTTTGGAATATCTCCCTTTTGATTTCTGGTAAAATGTACTGAGTTCTCCAGGGCCACTGTTGGAAGTGTTTTTCCAGTGCAATTATGACTTCTCTTAGTGTTGTCCTCAAAGTGCCCTACGGTGTCATGGTTGCTTAACCTTCAAGCATCCTGCTTAGGGTGTTACCTTGTTCAGGAAAAAAATTAGTTTTTTTTTTTAGGAAAAAATTAAGTCGTAACTGCACACCAAAATGTTCACCATGAGCTTCGCAGTTGTCTGACAGGATGTGAAAATGTTACCTGGCACTGTATTATAAAGGTAATGAGACAGGAATAGACCCTCATAGTTCAAAGGAAAAGCACCAGGCTATATTGGGAGAAAATTACATAATATTTCTGAATGTTACTTAATATTATTTACTAGAATACGGCTAATAATGTTAAGTAACCTGACATATTTCTTTGTGTTTCAGATGCAGAAAGAAAAGGCTTGTACACCCTCTTTCTGGAATCCGTACAGTCACGCCTTCGACACGGAGAAGATGCCAGCACACAGCCCCTCACCGCCCAGCAGGCATCCAAAGAGAGCCTCATTAAGATGCAGTGCATCGCCGAAAGACACCTTGAGCTGGATGATGCTCACGACCCGCTGCTGGCAGTCAACTTTGCCAGGTGAAACCCAACTGCAACATTTTTGATGGTTGAAATAGCAGAATCTGTGCAATATTTAGCAACTGCACAGCCTTAAAGAGAAAATATTTATAGCTTGTTCTACCTCATGAATGTAATACAAGAAGATACTGTATTCACTTATTCAGATGTCTCATTTGGTCTCCATGCTGTTTGTGAAAGTCCACAGATTATCATGTGACCTAGGCCCAAGCGACTGCTGTCAGTGGAGCAGGAGATGCTCTAAAAACTCTATGTTATGGCCGGCTGGGTAGCTCAGGGCACTGAAAGGTTGCCAGTTCGATTCCCAGTCAGGGCACATACCTGGGTTGCGGGTTCGATCCCCAGTGCCGGCATGTACGTAAGGCAACTGATTGATGTTTCTCTCACATCAATGACCCCCACTCCCTCTTTCTTCCTTCTTCTCTCTCAGCATGACCTCCGGTGAGGATTTAATTAATTAATTAATTAAAAGTTTAAAAAGTCTGAGTTATGGACCAGCATCACACATACTGAGTCAGACCCTGCTTGTGTGTAAAATGCACCTTCGCCCTTTGAATCATTTAGGTGCTTAGTTCCCACACAGTACCGCTCATTATTTGGTGGGCGTCACTTATGCCAGTGGCCCTAATGGCTAGAAAGACCTGAAGTACTTGATGCTAAAGGCAAAAGTGACTCTGAACAACTGGTCCACTCAATATATATTTTGAGGAAAAAGATTTTCTCTTTCTGTAATAGTTGGTAGTTTTAAGACTAACAGTCACAATGGTACTCTGGAATTTGATTTAAGAGAATTCTTTTGACAGCTGCTCTTAAAAACAAGACTCACTTTTTTGTGTTAAAGGTTGTACTTGGAACAGAGTGACTTTCATGAGAAGTTTGCTGGTGGAGATATATGTATGGATAGATCATCGGAATCTGTGACGTGCCAGACATTTGAATTAACACTGAGGTCTTGCCTCTATCCCCACATTGACAAGCAGTATCTAGATTGCTGTGGAAACCTCATGGAAACACTGAAGAAAGATTACAGGTATAAGGGAGTATCGTTTTGGAAGAAGTCTGTAGTTTTATTGTACTTTAGGAATGGTCGGAATTATTTTAAAACCTGTATTTCAAGTTAATATTTATTAGAGTAGGAAATAATTATGCAGTAAACAATTTTCTTTTGAGAGAATCAATTGCCCATTAATGTTTTCTTAACTATGTTGTGAAATTTAATTCCTTGTCTATTCCTGAGATGCTGTCCCAAAAGAAAAACAGAAAAAGCTTGTTGCACAAAAATGCCCATCACATAATTGGCTATCACATAACTGGCTAAATTACCAGTTCTTTATATTATGGCATATCCATAAATCTGGCATATTTGTATCATGTGTGAACTTTGTAGTTCACGCCAATAATGTTTATACAGAGTATTAAATAACATATTTTCTTCATAAAACTTAAAAAGCAGGATATATAATATGGTGAGGACTATATATATGTGTGTGTGTATATATATATATGTATATAATTTTTTTTTTTTTTTTAACAGACTGTGTTTACCCCATTGTATGTTCTTGCCTCCGTTGTCAGATATTAATTGACTACATAGACGTAGGTTTATTTCTGGGCTCCCTACTCTCTTCCATTGATCAATGTGTCTGTCTTTATGTCAGTACAATGTCATTTTGGTTTATGGCCTTGCAGTATAGTTTGATATAGAATAGCACGATACCTCCAACTTTGTTCTTTCACAATATTGCTGAGCCTATTTGTGTTTTTTATTATTATTTATTTATCTTTATTGTTAAAGTATTACAAATGTCCCCTTTTCCCTCCATTGATCCTCTCCCCCCTGCACCCCTCCCCCCAGGCCTTCACCACACTGTTGACTGTGTCCATATGCATATAAGTTCTTAGATTAATATCTCCCCACCCACCCACCACCCCTGCCTTCCCTCTGAGATTCATCAGTCTGTCTCATGCTTCTGTGTCTCTGGATCTGTTTTGTTCCTCAGCTTATTTTGTTCATTAGATTCCACATATGAGTAAGGTCATGTGACACTTGTCTTTCTCTCACTGGCTTATTTCACTTAGCATAATACTCTCCAGGTCCCACCATGCTGCCTCAAAGGGTAAGGGATCCTTCTTTTTTACAGCTGCATACTATTCCATGGTATAGATGTCCAAGAAGATGCTTGATATGATTTCAGTCTTCTTGAACTTGTGGAGTCTTGTTTTATTTCCTAACATGTGGTCTATCTTTGAGAATGTCCCATGTGCACTTCAGGAGAATGTTTATTCTGCAGCTTTGGGGTAAAATGTTCTGTAAATGTCAATTAAATCCATCTGATATAGGGTGTCATTTAGAATCACTGTTTCCTTGTTGATTTTTTGTCTGAAAGATTTGTCCAGTGTAGTGGGGTGTTAAAGTCCCCTACTGTGACTGTATTGCTGTCGATCTCTCCTTTAAAGGCCTCCAGAAGTTTTTTTTTTGAGCCTGTGTGTCTTTGGTTCTGAGGTGGGTCTCTTGTAGACAGCATATATTTTTGGGTTTTATTTTCTTATCCATTCACCTACCCTGCACCCTTCGATTAGAGCTTTTAATCCACTTATATTTAAGGTTATTATTGATAGGTGTTTATTGCCATTTGAATTCTTTATTTCTATGTTTCTCTCTCTATTTCTACTTCTTATTACAGCAGTTTCTTTAACATTTCCTACAATGCTGGTTTGGTGGTGATAAACTCCTTTAGCCTTTTTTTTGACTGGAAAGCTCTTTATTTCACCATTTATTTTGAATTATAGCCTTGCTGAATAGTGTGGTCTTGGTTTCAGATCCTTGCTTTTCATTACCTCAAATACTTCATGCCATTCCCTTCCAGCCTGAAGAGTTTCTGATGAGAAGTCATCTGACAGCCTTATGGGAGCTCCTTTGTAGATAACAGATTGCTTTTCTCTTGCTGTCTTTAATATTCTCTCTTTGTCTTGAATTTTGGCATTTTAATTATGATGTATTTGGATGTGGCCCTCTTTGGGTTCTTTTTGCTTGGGACTCTCTGTGCCTCCTAAACTTGTGTGACTTTTTCCTTCACGAGGTGAAGGAAATTTTCTGCCATTATTTCTTCAAACAGGTTCTCTAACCCTTGCTTAGTTTCTACATCTGGCATTCCTATGATGCGAATATTATTACGTTTTATGTTGTCCTGCAGCCCCCTTAAACTGTCCTGTTTTTTAATTGTGGTTTTTTGTTTTTTTTGGTTCTCTGATTGAGTGATTTTTTTCTGAGCTAATCCTAATATGCTTCCCCTAATCTGCTGTTTATTCCTTCCAGTGTTTGGTTTTTTTATTATTTATACTATGTCGTTCTTAATTTCCTTCATAGTTTCCATTTCTTTTCTCATGCTGTTGAGCATCCTTATGATCAGTATTCTGAACTCTGTATGTGCTAGATTGCTTATCTCCATTTCATTTAGCTCTTTTTCTGGAGAATTCTTTGGTTCTTTCATTGGGGGCTTGTTTTCTGGCTCCCTGTTTTGGCTGCCTGTTTGGATTTGTTTCTATTTGTTAGGTAGATCTGCTAGGACTCCCAGTCTTTTGGATGGTCTCTGGTGCAGGCCAATGTCAGATGCTGTTTGTGACTGGCCTTGAGTAACCTGTTTGAAGCTTTCCACACTCCACAGCTTGTTGTTCCATCTGCTGGGGCTGGGTGTGTTTAGATAGCATGAAGATGTGCACCAAGGTCTGCTTTTTCAGAAGCAGAATCAGGCAAAGACCAGGACTATATATTTTAAATGCATAGAAAAAAAGATGGGAAAGAAATACCCCAAATACTATCACAGTGGAGACTCACTATGAATAGTAGGATTTGGATTCACTTTTTTTTCCAGTCCTCATCCTAGTGTGTTTTCACTGATTGTGAGGAAGGGGGAGAGAGACAGAGAGAAACATCGATGTGAGAGAGAAACATTGGTTGCCTCCTGTATGTGCCCCAACTGGGGATCAAACCTACAGCGTAGGTATATGCCCTGATCCTGATTTGGACCCACACCCTTTTGGTATAGAGGATGACATTCCAACCAGCTGGGCCACACTGGCCAGGGCTGGATTCATTTTTTTTGTTACACTTTCGTGACTGCCCAGTTTTCTACATTATGGAAAAATAACTTTCTGATTGTTAATATAAAGCATATTCTATTTTTATTGTTAAGGTATTGAAGAGGTGTTAATGTTTCTGATTTTAGTCAGTGTGGAATGTAAACCTGTTTCACTGAAAAAGGTAACATACAATCCTGTTACTAATGGAGGACCCTGTCTCACATTCCTTCTCTCCTTTCAGGTTGGTGGAGTACTTGCAGGCCATGAGGAATTTTTTTTTAATGGAAGGTGGAGATACCATGTATGACTTCTACACATCAATTTTTGATAAAATAAGAGAAAAGGAAACCTGGCAAAATGTGTCTTTTCTTAACGTCCAGCTCCAAGAAGCAGTAGGACAGCGTTATCCTGAAGACAGTCCACGGTAAAATATGGGAGGCACCTTTCATTTTCAATATTGAAAAGTGACCCATGTGCCATGAACCCTTCTATGAATATTTGTGTATATTACAATATATAACCTTCACACCAACCCTATGAATTTTGCTATTGTTATTTTACCTGTTGGAAAACCGAGGCAACGGGTAGCATAGTTACTTGCCCATTAAGCAAAAGGGGATGACTCGATGGGACCACACGGCTGTCAGGCTGTGCCACCTCCTCATGTGGCTGGGGTCAGTGCTGGCCATGGGCTGTGCCACCTCCCTGCCCAGTGGCATCGCCCTCCAGCTGGCTACACTGGCCTTGTTAGTCTTGGGTGGTTCTTAGGGAGCTCCAGGCCTCATTGACCGTCTTTCCGCTACATGCTGCTGTTGCTCAGACAGAGCCACAGACCAGTGGGGTTCAGGAGTGAGAAGTAGACTCCACCACTTGTTGGTCAAAGTTGTATATTTTCTTTTTTTTAAATATATCTTTTATTGATTTCAGAGAGAGGAAAGGAGAGGGAGAGAGAGAGAGAGATAGAAACATCAATGATGAGAGAGTTACTGATCGAGCCCACAACCCGGGCATGAGCCCTGACCAGGAATCGAACCCCAATCGCCTGGATCCTAGGTCGACTCTCAACCGCTGAGCCATGCCTGGCTGGGCAAAGTTATTTTCAAACTGTTACACTGGCCTGTTCTTGAGCAGGGTGCTCACCAGCCCTTTCCTCCCTGCTGAGCTGCTGGGCCAGGGCTGTGAGTCGGTGCCTCTGAATCTTCGTAGTGCAGAGACCCAACTTCCACCCTACCTGGTGGTCCTCGTTCCTTCCTTAGCTCCCCTTCTCATTCCCCTTCGACAGAAATAATGATAATAGTTAATGTGGGCTATGTGCCACTTTAAGGTACTATGTTATTGACCATCTACTGCAGGGATGGGGAACGTCCGTATGCAGCCCGCAAAATCATTTGGTCTGACCCTGCCAAGGCAGCCACAGGTGGGACTTGAAATTCAATAAATCTAGGAGCTTTTTTATAGCTAATTTTTAAGTTGATAATTTTGTATGGCCTGCAAATGATGTTATAAATATATAAATGGCTCTTGGCAGAAAAAAGTTTCCCTGCTTAGTAGATAAAATAATTCCTTTTATTTTCATTTCATTCTTTTATTACTTTTGATTCTTCCATAAAAACAATATTTGATCAATTATGTAGTTAGTGTAACTGCTCGATTCTTTTCATGATAAGAAATTAGTGCCCAGCACCCCCCAGAGGTAAGCAGGGAAGGTTATGTTTTTCAATATCTGTAGAAACCCATGAATTTTACTATTTTAATAAGTTTTAATCTATTATAGTTATTCTTTTTTAAAAATACTTTTACTCATTTTTTAGACAGGAAGGGAGAGAGGGAGAGAGAGAATTATGGATGTCAGAGTTACACATTGCTCAGACTCCCATTTTGACCGAGAGGGAACTCTGTCACTTGACCCTAGTGACCTTGGAGAGCCCCCTGCTCTCAAGACTGATGTCCAGGCTCATCCTGTGCCCGTCCTGCCCAGGTGTGTGTGCCTCTCCCACCAGCATTCTGCTGTTTGGAGGCTTCAGAAGCCCTCAGCCAGGGTGCTGGAGTATATCCATTGGCCCTGGGTTGTCAGCACTCTGGGCTCTCTCAGTGGACAGAGTTTGGAAATATGTAGCAAGAGCAGAATGATATTTTCATTGTATAGTAACGGTGACAGATTTCACTTTGATTTTCCTTTGAGTATTATTAGCACATTAATATAACACACGTTGGTTTTGTTCTGTAATGAGTGATAATAGTTCCAGAGTAACAATAAGCCCCCAACAACATGCTTGGGATTGTCTCCCTGTCTTTCCTGGTCATCAGAGTCTGCACCTCAAGGTCCCTGGGAATAACTCTTCCTGTGACTGACAGCATCACACAGGGTTCGTTTATTGGTCACAGCTTATTTTGTACGTCCAGGAATTGCTCCCCTCCTTAGGTCTCCCCCCTTTTTTTGGTTAATCCTTACCCGAGGATATTTTTTTCATTGATTTTTAGAGAGAGGAGAGGGGCGTGGGGGGGGTGAGGAGAGAAAGAAACATCGATGTACGAGAGACACATCAATTGGTTGCCTCCCATGTGCCCCTGTTGGGGCTGGGACTCGAACCTGCAACCCAGGCATGTGCCCTTGACTGGGAATTGAACCCATGACCCTTTGGTGTGCGGGCCGATGCTCTAACCACGGAGCCACACTGGCCAGGGCTGTGCCATTTTGTGTTTTAATTAGGTAAAACAGTTATGTGTTGAAATCGTTGTCACAGAGGTACATTTAGGAAGATCTGGCTCCTATTTCTGTTTCTGCTCGCTCTCTGCCTCCCCTGTAAGGAACCATTTTTATTCAATTTTCTTTTATCCTTGTTATGATTACTTTTTAGAACCAAAAACGTGTGCATGTATTCCTCTTCCTCTTTGCATGTTACATGAAATGCAGCATAGTCCATGCTTTTCCAATAGCTGCTCGATTTTGCATACGTAAATACCACGTCCAAGACTCAGTCCCTCCACAGTCCCTCCAGAGCGCGCGTCCCCACTCCTCTCCCGCTGACCGGTTTTCTGCCTGTCCATTCAGCCAGTTGTCTGTGGGTGGGCGTTGGGTTTCTGATCCTTGCTCTGCACGTGTAAGGGGCTGGCCTTGCACATTTCACTTCAGTGTGACCTGGAGAAGGTTTCTAGGATGGGGTGCAGGTGACAGGGTAAACGTGTGTCCTGCTGCTCCCACCAGATCCCTCGGCATCAAGGTGGTGTCTTCTCTACTCCCAGCAGTGTGCAGAGTGGCTTTCTCCACAGCCTCACCCGCACAACGTGTCCACCCTCACAAGGTGTTGTCAGACTTTGGGATTTGTGCTCATCTGATGGTGAGAAATGGTATCTCAGTGTAGTTTTAATTTACATTTTTCAATTATGAGTGAACTTTGTCATCTTGCCAAATGTTTATTTCTGCATTTTTTGTAATGATAGCTATTCACATCTTTTGACACTATTTCTATCAGTATTAGGTTGTTGGTGTTTATCATCTCTTTCCATTTTTAGAAGCTCTTTAGTTTGGTTTCCCACTTTGACATTGGTCTTTTTTTTCTGCTTATTGTATAACCATTTTTTGTTGCTGTTTGGTTATGCAAGTGTGTTTTAGTTTTATAACATAAGTCTTTTATTACTTCTGGGATTTGAGTCACAGTTAAGAAAGTTTTACTCCCAGGTTATATCTGTGTATTTACTTATTCAGCTAGTTAGTTATTTTTGTTAACCCTCACCTGAGGATATTTCCTCCACTGCTTTCAGAGGGGAAGGGAGAGAGAGAATCATCGATGTGAGAGACACATCCATTGGTTGCCTCCCGCATGTGCCCCTGACTGGGGCTGGGGATGGAGCCTGCAACCGAGGTACCTGCCCTTGGCTGGAATCAAACCCGGGACCCTTCAGTCCACAGGCCGATGCTCTAGCCACTGAGCCAAACCAGCCAGGGCATCAAGGATATTTTTTCCATTGATTTTTCTTAGAATGGAGGGGAGGGAGGAAGGGGAGAGAGAGAGAGAGAAACATGGATGTGAGAGAAACACATTGATTGGTTGCCCCCTGCACACCCGACAGAGGCCGGGGGTCAAGCCTGCAACCGAGGTATGTGCCCTGGACCAGGAATCAAACAAACCCTTTGGTCCTTAGGCCGATGCTCTAACCACTGAGCCAGACTGGCCAGGGTNGGAGGGGAGGGAGGAAGGGGAGAGAGAGAGAGAGAAACATGGATGTGAGAGAAACACATTGATTGGTTGCCCCCTGCACACCCGACAGAGGCCGGGGGTCAAGCCTGCAACCGAGGTATGTGCCCTGGACCAGGAATCAAACAAACCCTTTGGTCCTTAGGCCGATGCTCTAACCACTGAGCCAGAGTGGCGAGGCCCCCCCAGTTGTATTTATTATTATTATTTTTTAAATATATCTTTATTGATTTCAGAGAGAGGAAAGGATAGGGAGAGAGAGAGATAGAAACATCAATGATGAGAGAGTCATTGATCGAGCCCACAACCCGGGCATGTGCCCTGACCGGGAATCGAACCCCGATCGCCTGGATCCTAGGTCGACGCTCAACCGCTGAGCCACGCCTGGACGGGCCCCCCAGTTGTATTTAAAGTCACCCATCTTTTCTTCTATGTTTGAATTGAGTTTTCATGTTTACATATTTATCCATTTGGAGTTTATCCACCTAATTAGGAGAAGTTGATTCAGTTTTATCTTTTTCCAAATGACTAGTTGGTTCTCATCACACTTCTTTCTAAAAAAAGAAATGTACCTCTCCCTAATTTATTTGTGATAGATACCCCTTTATGTTTAATTTGTCATGTGCAATTGAGTGTCTTTCTAGATTTTTCACTGTTTCATTGTTCTGTTTATTCAGGTGCCAGTAGCATTCGGGTTCAGTAGGATTTTCCTGGCTTTTCTTGCTTATTTATTTTATAGATTCAGTTTATCTTCAAGTGTCTGGCTCCACCAGAACACACACCTCGGTGGCATTTTTATTGAGATGTATTCATTCATAGGTTAACTCAGGACAGTGAGCCGCCCCACCCTTCCTGCTATGGCTTCCCTGTGCTTCTTTTTTCTTTTCTTTTCTTTTTCCCCCCCTGTGCTTTAAATGCCTGTCTGCACCCTCAGGCTCACTGAGTCCCAGGGAGAATCCTGGGTTCAGCACCAAGGCCAAGGCTGCTCCCTGCCTTGCACCCTCTCTCAGCCTCCGCAACACCCCTTGCCCTCCTCCCACAGCACTCATGCCTGGGGTACATCCCTTCATTGTTGATGGCTTCAGGGATCCCAATGACCTGGAAAACAGGGGTTTGCCCAGTGTCTGCACAGCCAGCACCTCTGACTGTGTTCAAATGTCATGTATCCCCTTGTCTCCGGGTTGTGCAGTGCTGCTTATATGAAAGCTCGTCTCTGACGCCTCCTGACTGCTCAGCTTCTCTCCTTCCACTTGCAGCCCCCAGAGTGACTGGGTAGACCAGCAGCCCCTGCCCCTCACATGCAGGCCCCCGGCTGTGGAGAAGGGGTGCTCCTTGCTGCATCTCGGTTCTCTGTGCACATGGAGTTCTCCTCCCATGCTTTCCACCTTGAGTGTTCAGTACTTCGGGCTTCCCAAGAGCCATGTGCCTCACTCCGGGAGCAGTCACATGTCCATATCCTGCAGAGACAAGCTTTCCCATTGGCAGGGCCTGGCAGTGACAAAGCTCTACCTGGCCTGGCTTGAGCAGCATCCTGTGTCTCTCAGTGACAGAAGAGTGACTTGCATGGCTGCTCTGTGCAGTGATCCCCTGGAGGCAAACAAGGCTTCTGTCTATCATCTGCCTAGGTTGGCACCTGATGAGGTGTTCAGTAGGCGCCTACTCAGTACTTAGTGGATGCTTGTGTAGCAGACTTAGGAGCTAAGAAATTCTGACTAGTACCTATGTCATGGAATGAATGGGCTAATTCATAAATCTCAGGCCATCCTCCCTCCCTTCCTTCCACATAAGCCCGTGGTCTCCACCGGTCTCATCACTCAGGGCCCCTGCTCCCTTGAGCACTGCATGGTTTCTCGGTCCACTGGCAGGACACTGAGGAGACTGATGTGAGACACTGCATTCCCTGCACTGCCCGGCACAGGGGCATCCCCATGCGCTGCGGTGGATCTTTCTATCAGGAATCACATTCGAACCAGTGTTAGGGATGCGTGGATAAAGTGTACGTGACACCTTGTCTTGGAAGCAGACCCCGCTCTTGTCACTCACACACACACTCAGGGTGAGCAGAGGTTTGCTTCTGAGCCTGTTGCCTGAATTTTTTCAGAATTAAGTATCCTGCCTTTGTCTCTTTTCCTAATTAACCTACTACCGCCGTTCAGTGTCTCTTTTCTTTTACAGCTAATCCTAGTATTTGAAAACGTTTCCCTCTTTCTTATTTCCAAAACCAAACTCCTCTCCTGGAGTATATGCCAGGAAGTATGCTTTGTTGGCATATTTACACTCCTTTTGTGAAATCCAGGGTCTTGTTTGGACTATGATGTAAATAAAACATGTGAAAGTGGTCATGTTGTTTTAAAACAGCATTTTTATATGAGCTTAATATTTTCACAAACTAAAACGGAAACTTCTTTATCTAGTCTCTCTGTATCTTTTGAGAATGTGGACACAGCTAAGAAGAAACTCCCTGTTCATATCTTAGATGGTCTGACCCTGAGCTACAAGGTACGTGCTGACCCTCTTTGTAAGAACATTGTTTTCTGTTAAAATTGAAACGTGCATGTAATGGGTTACTTTCTGTTCTGATTTTCTGTCTTTGTTTTCTTAGGTCCCATGGCCTGTGGACATTGTTATAAGTTCGGAATGTCAAAAAATTTATAATCAGGTGTTCCTTCTCTTACTGCAGATAAAGTGGGCAAAATACAGCCTGGATGTTTTACTATTTGGTGGTAAGATTTGTTTTCAGTAGATAAATTATAACTTAATTTAACCCTGAAAAAGAGGTGGTGGTCTGGTCATTTTTCATGTATATACAAGGACCAAAATGACATGTATTCATAGCAGCATTTTTACAGATGTCAGAATTAATGCCTCTGAATGAAATGCCAGAAGTTGTATATACAGTTAACCTGAAATACAATAACTTGATTAAGAGTTTAGCCAGAATAATGATTCACCTTAGGTTATGTGAAAATTTTAACAAGTTCATGGGACTTCGCATTTACATTTTAAAAAAATATATTTTATTGATTTCGGAGGGAGGGAGAGGGAGAGAGAGATAGAAACATCAATGATGAGAGTCATTGATTGGCCGCGTCCTGCATGCCCCCCACTGGGGATTGAGCTTTGCAACCTGGGCATGTGCCCTGACCGGGAATCAAACCACGATCTTCTGGATCATAGGTCAGTGCTCAACCACTGAGCCACACCAGCCGGGCTGCATTTACATTTTTTATGACAGTGATCATCCAGGTGATAGGGAACTTCTTAGAGCTTCAGCTTTCAGAGACACTGAAGGTAGGGTCCCCTCCGTGCACATGGTCACCACTCTGGCAGGGGCCCCGCCCTGAGCAGTGGCTTGGAAGGAAGCTCGTCCCACCCATGCTGCCCTATTGAATCTTTTACAGAATTAGCTGGAAAACCACCACTTCAAGAAGGACTTTTATGCAGACAGGAACCGGCTTCCCAGTTTGGAACACAGAAGAAACCAGCAAGACAGCTGATTCATCGGATGTTCCTCCTGCGCGTGAAGCTCATGCACTTTGTGAACAGCTTACACAACTACATCATGACCAGGGTTTGTTCTGTCCACCTGCCTCCTACCCACTGTTCAGAGAGGGTTACTTGTAGTAGAGTCATAAACAGAGGAGCCCACAAAGCACTTACAGACGCAAATGGGAAATAGCCCATGTTAAGTTTAGGTCATGAAACTGGCAGCAGGTGGGGAGGGGTGTTTTCAAGACATGCCAGGGTTCATGTGTGCAGAGCCTACTGCTCTCCACCCCCCCCCCCCC